TATATTCGATATTAAATATTGAATATTAAAATTTAGGATGTTAAATAAAATTTAGGTCACAATTCTATAATAAAATTTACAAAGTATTGCCTTAGATATTTTTTTTAACATACTTTTGTCTCTAATATCTATTTAATTCTTTTAAAAAAAATATGTTGGGTCCACTTAGCCCGTTTAGCCCGAGTCCAAACGGTCCCGGGCCCGATCCATACAAAAAGTCCGTTTAGTCCGGAACCGTTTCGACCGGCCCACTTGGCCCGTTTAGGCCCGGGACCAGCCCACTTGCCAGCCCTACTTGAGACTCAAGGTTATAGATTAAGTGGGCCTTTGGATATAAAAAGTATGAAATTTCGAAGAAAAAAAATGAATTTATTTTTCAAAGTTAAAATAGTATTTGAAAATTAACGTTTGTCCATAAAAAAAAAAATTTCTTCTTGCGAATGTTTTTCCCCAAAAATTTATTTGTCCATAAAAAATTGTAAGTGTTAGATTTATTTTTTCGAAAATGAGTTTTTCATAAACCAAATCCCCACTCACAAAACGACAATATTTATTCAAGCGAAATGCATGTCCAAATACAATTTCAAATTCTAAATATCATTTTTCAACTTAACTCCAAATACTCATTTTTTAAAAAAAATTATAATTCTTATGTCCAAACGCCTAATTAGAGTTTGTATTTGGACGTGGATATAATTTAGAGCTATTTTTGAATTTTTGTGAGCGATTTGAAGTGACTTTTGAAAAATAATTTTTTTGAGTATTTTAAATTTTCGAAAAGTTTCAAAATTCAAGTGAAATTTTAAATTTTCATGGCCAAACACTGAATTCGAAAAAAAGTAAAAAAAAAATAAAAAAAAGTGAAATATTTTTATGGCCAAACGGGCCCTTAAATCACAAAGGTTGAAATCAGTTGCTAATATAATTGAGTAGTTTTCTCCTTCTCTAAAGAAAAAAGAAAAGGCTTACCATGATTTTGTTTTTCTCTCTCAACTCAAATAATCTGCTAGTGTTAACTACACTTCAGTTCTAGTTTAACAGAAATCTATATAAATCCTCTATATTCAGTTTGTAGTTAGTATTTTACAATCGCCATATTTAGATTAAAGTTTATGATTAATCGCCACGGTAACACTTATTCTTTTACTCCTATTAGGACTTTGGACCCGTTATATTTTTCGAAGGGAATTATTAATTTATTATTACTCTAGCCAAAGGAAAGCTAAAATTTTATGATTTGTGCTTAATTAATCCTTCTACGTTTACCTTCTCTGTTAAAAGAAAAAACTATAAAAACCAAAATCTTTCTAATAGTCTCGCTCGCAGCTCGGCTCTGAACTCGAGTCCGACTGTTGTTTACGACTCAAAAATCAAAACGATCATCTGTAACTCCTCCGACTCGTCAGAAATGGTGATTTTACTATTCAAGTCCTTTTCTTCCATTCTAGAAAATAAAACTTAATAAATTAGGGGACGTAAATTCATTGAAATTTCAGTATGTATTCCATTTCTGCGTAAATTTGCTTAAGGAAATTTTATTATCTTGATGATTGTTTGTTTTCAATTGGATCATTGGAAATGGCAGATCCGTTTCATAGTGCTTCAGAACAGACAAGGGAAGACCCGATTGGCCAAATATTACATTCCTCTCGAGGAATCCGAGAAGCACAAGGTCGAGTACGAGGTATTATAATTTGCTCCTTTTTGCTTCTCGTACTTTCAGGAATTTTTGTATCTTGTTAATTCTTAGCTTGTGGCTTTTGCTTACAATGTCAATTTGGTCCTGTAGGTTCATCGGTTGGTGGTTAATAGAGATCCCAAATTCACCAACTTTGTGGAGGTAAAACCGTCCCAATTCCAGATAATTCTAAGGACTTAGTTGAAAAGCTGCTATTTTTCTACTTTAAGTTCCTGTGTATGATATTTTCAATCAATCTATTATGCTTCGATGACATACGCTACCCAAAAGAAGAAGTTATTTTTCATTGAGTTCTTAATAATACTTATGTGGTAATCTTTTGACTTGATTATCTGTAAAATGGTTGGTTTCAGTCGGTGTACTTTCTTATTTTTTGATTTTTAAGATTCTTGCCCAGTGTCTACTCTCCTTGTATTTAGTAATCTTAACTTTTTTTTTGTTAAGAGAGAAACCCGCAGCCGCTACACTTGGTGCGCACTGGGTAAACCTCCCCTGTGTAATAGCCTGCAAACGGTAAGCCGCACTAGGCAAGCCATGTGTGACAGACTCAACCTAGAAGGCATTGAGGGGGATTCGATCCCAGGTCATCCCTCCAAACCAACTGGGCAACCCCGAAGGGTTTAGTAATCTTAACTTATGTCTAGTTAATGAAAGAATGATCTGGTCTTGGTGGATATTTTTGTCTTTCCCCATTAGGCACAATATTATTCCAAGTCCCAACCTTTTAGGTTTCTGGTGCAGTTATATTTAGATGGCCTAGTGATAGTTCTTTTCTTCTACTTTCACTTTTTCAAGTCTTTTTTATCTTGTTCCAATATACCGGGGAGGAATATTCAGCATTTTGGATTGATCTTCAATGTGCAAACCTGCTAGTGGGATGTAAGAACTTCTGTAAAATGAGTAAATGGTTTGTGGATGAAGACTAGTCTATACTCTATAATGCAGCGGAAATTTTTTGGGGAGAAAAGCTTTGTCTTGGATGAGGAAGATTGGCTTTGAAGGCACTCTCCCTGTCTTGGTGGGTCCTTTATTGTTCAATCTTTGAGCCCAACAAGCAAAGCTGAGGGGTTGGGGGTGGCTGAGAGGGAGAGAGGAGGAGAAAGCAAGAGGAGGGCTCCTTCACTAGGTTCAGCTTTGGCTTCGGGTCATGTGTGGTAAGATGATTTTCGAAGTGACACCTAATTAGCACTATTATCTTTCCAGTGGTACTGGGCTCAACATATTGATGGGCTAGGCCTTGATTTGATTCCTCGGAACAATTGGGTATTTTATACTTAACCTCCAAAAACAACTAAAGGTCTATTTACTGTGATATTGTTAAAAATACTGATTAGATGCGTCATAAATGCATAAACTAGATGTGTAAATCCCTTAGAGATAAAAGTTCAAGGCAAGAATTTAACAGATAATTCTTTTTTAATAAGTAATTTCTTTTAATCTAGGGGAGAGTTAGAGGACTCTTTTCACATAGAAGGAAACGGAAGTGAACCCTCAGGGGTTGGCCTGGTGGCAATTGACTTGAGCCTTGGGGTTTGCTCCCTTTCAAGGTCTCAAGTTCGAAACCCATTGGGTGCAAACAATTTCTGAGGGCCATCGGACTGGGTAAAACCTGAATTAACCGTGGGCCTGTGCACCCCCGGGATTAGTCGGGGCTCAAAGAGACTCGGACACCCGGTGCAAAATCAAAAAGGAAACGGAAGTGTGAAAGAAATTTGAATCTGCCTATTTGCTTCTTATTCAAGGTATGCTAGAAAGAGATCAAACTTGAAATTAGGGAAACTTATTAGCTTTTGTGCTAAACCTCAACTGGATACTAGAGAAAAAGGAATCCAGTGGGAAGTATATTTAAATGAGGGAGTTGCTCCTATTTTCTTTGATATTTTAGGTTGATGATGATATTTGCATATCAGGACGAGTCTCATTGCACTATGATTGATTGGGCATTTAATATCTTCTAAGCTGTACTTGTCAAAAATGTACTCTCACTCGTGTTTGTCATCTGATGCAGCATCAAATAGCTCTCTTTTTTGTTATTGCTTCAACTTCTCTTCAGCATTGTTAAACTGTGTTTCCTGGATCATTCACAAAGCAATAACACTCCCTCTTCATGATTCTTTTCCTTTTAGTTCCGTACCCACAAGATTATATACAGAAGATATGCAGGATTGTTTTTCTCACTCTGTGTTGATATTACTGACAACGAGTTAGCTTATCTGGAGAGCATCCACTTGTTTGTCGAAATTTTGGATCACTTCTTCAGCAACGTCTGTGAACTAGATTTGGTTTTTAACTTCCACAAGGTTAGATATTTTTTTATCACGCATCTGTTGCTACTTAGTGAAGGACTGATTTTCTTTAAATATTTTTTTTTTCTTTTGCATCACCCCTTATGTCATAATGGTGCTTTGATTAATTCCAAGTCTATCCAACAATCTCGCTGTGGAACCTTAGAAGCTTACCGATAAGTGCTGCTGAACTTTTGTTGTTATGTTGGCTCTCCTAATGAATTGCCAATATGCGGGTCAATTGCTGAGTTGGAAACTGTACTGGTGGGATATCTGCTGATTGCTGCAGTTGGGGTTGTATTCATTTACTTTAGTTTTCCCCTCCCAGTAGTGGCTTGGTCTTCCTTGAATTAATCTGTTTACTGCAGGTCATATCATGCATTCCTTCAAGATAGATTCTTACTAGGTGAAAAACTGGTGGATATGGGAACAAATGGTACATTTTAGTTTTGGTAACAAAAGCACCGANACCATGCACAATAAACAATCATAAATAAAAAGGTATTACCATGCACAAAAACACCCCTTTAGTTTCTTCATTGATCATTATCGTCGTCGTCTGCAATCAGAATTCAGGACTGCAGCTACTATCCCTACCTTTTTCATCATCCGAGAGGAAGTGTACTAGAAGAGCTATGAGTGACCTACATGGAGTAAGAATAAGAAAATATTCAATCTAAGCCTAGGAGCTCTTGGAGGCATTACCCCCATCACATTGGAGTTGATGGTCCCCGTCTTTTCTGTTTGCATAGGAGTTATTCCTCTAGCTTTAAATTAAGGAACTGAATCCACCTTTATTCTCTCTTGCCTACCTATATGTCAGCACACTAGAATGTTCTTTCCATTTTAAATTTAAGCTTATGCTGGAATTAGATTTGATTTATTAAGAACCAGAAAACCGTTACCTTTAAGTGTCTAAAATAGTATTAGTAGCTCCTTGTATATTATTGGTTCTCTCATTTATTCTCAAGAATTAAAAACTAATACCAATTCTGAGATTGCACAAAGTCGTGTGATAATTTTCGATGCTTTATGGAATCACAAAACTTCAGGGGTTCAGAGGGATTACAATAGGTTGGTGTTCTAGTTTTCCGGGGATATATGGAAACTATTTCCAACCTATCAATGAAATGGCAGGCAAAAGTCACAGTTCTGTTGTGCTCAGTCATATGCACTAAATGAGGCTACCAGTTTGCAAAGCAATATTCCAGCACAGTTTTTGTATGAAAAAAATTACAGTCGTCACAATATAGAGAATATGTTGATGTGAAGCTGTGCTTTTTTCAGAAAAAATATATATAATGACCACCAAATTGCTTTTTGTTTGTAGATTTGATGGTCATCAATTAACTCATGCTGTTTCCCTTTGTTAAATTTTCCCCGTCTGCAGGTATATCTGATATTAGATGAGTTCATTCTTGCTGGGGAACTTCAAGAAACGAGTAAGAAGGTAAATGTAATAGAAAAACACCTCCTCCTATAACCTTTTGCCATAGTCAGAGGCAGATCCTGTAGCTGCCAGAACAACATTTGTTCCTTATGATGGATGCTAATATTGTGGTCAATTTCAACTTTTAGCCAAAAAAGCTTTACTTTATTGATGATTAGATATTGTTTCATCCCTGAGATAATGGCAATAAAATTAATTGATTTCGCACACATGTTAACCCTCTCTCACTTCCGCTTGTTATTCATCCTGCGTTGAATCTGTGGTTTTTTAAAATTTGCTGCTGAACAATCTCTTTTTTTTAAATGGCAGGCAATTATAGAAAGAATGGGGGAGTTGGAAAAGCAGGAATAGAGATTTATGTGGCAGCTACAGATAAAGCACCTTCCCTTGCCTCCAAAGTTTACACCTTCTTTCTGCTGGCTGTATTTCCCTGTTAAACATCTAAATGTTCTTGTGCTTCAGTTATCTATTCGAACGTGTATCATTTCTTTCATTCTTACATGTAAAAGAGGTTTTCTTTTTTGCTTATTTTAGTAAAGAATCTTTTTTGGAAGTGTCTTGCTTCTCTATCAGTATGCAGATGTTATGAGAGTGATGAATTTGACATTGCATGTTGCTGAATAATAATCTTGATTTGTATACCAAACTTGGTTGAGTTTCAGCACAATGATGTGAAGTTACTGGTAACACTAACCAACCATGAATTTTCTTTTTTTCCCCCTCAATCATGTAAAGGAATGCTAGTTAGGTATAGAACCAACAAATGTTTATCTAATATATCTCCAGCAAATCATAATTATCATTTGAAGTATATCTTTAGGACAAGACCAATATGAGAGGAGAAAGAAAAACACAATACACTCTTACCATTAATAAGGAAATTTTCATGACAAATCAAAAAGAATGTCAAAAACTCAAAATAAAATCTAAAAGACAAGTACTTTAAGCAATTGAAAGTGACTATAGTATATTAACAAAACCAAGAAGTAGATTTTTTCATTGGAGGCTTCATCTGTTTGTCATCTTCTAGTGCTATCATACCCAAATGAGATGGATCTTCAAGCATCATTCTAGCCACCAAATAACCAGCAATGGACCACGTTTGGAATTTCCGAGCTTGTTTGCCAATGTAACGACCATGTTTTCCATCATAGTACTCTGGCCAACTATCCTTTAGTAAACGAGTTTCTGTTTGTTCAATGGCTTTTCTTGCTAATTGGTGTCTTCCAGTCTTGATACATGCAGCCGTAAGGAGCCACAAAAGAACTAAGACACAAAAAACAAGTAAATTGATGTCAATCAACTATATTTCAATCTCAAATTAGTTGTAGTTAACTGTATCGATCGTTTGTATCACTTGCTCTATCCAAGCCAATTTCGATTTAGAAGAATCATTTGATTTGTATTACATTGACCATCAACCTACCACTGTTGGATGTGTGTTGTAAAAAAGAAAAGAAAGTTACTTATAAGATGTTTGGATACTCTTAATGGCGTGAAGCTTTTTGAAAAAAATGGCGCGGGCTTAGCCTAGTAAGAGTATCATTGGGCCATTTTAAGTCAGAAACCACAACTCCTTTATTCAAGTTTGGAATATGTTATGCTTTGCTCACATAAGCAAGGTGGAGGGAGCCTTTATCCTAGGAGTTCAATTGAACCGAGCATTTTTCTCACAGAACTAGATACATATGTGTAAAATTACTAAAATTTCAAGAAATACTAAATTCTGAATCAATAATTTCTAAAGTACAATGAGTTTAGTGCTAAAAACATCAAAGGTTGAATTCATCAGGTTCAAAATCTTACACTCCATTCACCATTTAGTTTGTTAAGCTACCCAACAAGTACATTGCATACATCACAATATGTTGGACAAATAACAAGTCACTAAATAGATTTGAACTTTTGGGATTTTAAAGCATGACGAACTAACTTGGCCAAGACCAACATCACAGAACTAGTACATATGTGAAAAATCACTAAAGTATCAAGAAATACTAAATTTTGAATTCATAATAAAATATAATGAGTTTAGTGCTAAAAAATTCAAAAGGTTAGAATTCATTAGGTTCAAATCTTAAACGCATAGGTCGAATGCACTCCATTCACCAATTAGTTCGTTAAGCTACCCACCAAGTACATTGCATACATCACAATATGTTTGTCAAATAATAAATCACTAACTAGAGATGAACTTTTGGGCTTTTAAAACAGTAGGAGCTAACCTGGCCAAGATCCAGCATTATGGTAACTCCAGCTAGTATTTTTAGGATCACACCCCGTAACAATCCTCCATTCATGAGTTTCCATAGCAGGATAACAAATTTTGAGTGGCATTTCTCCAACAAGCTCTTCCCATCGCGATTCAATGAGATCCATTATTGCTGAGGCTTGTTCAGGTGTAGCCAAAGATGACAAAATTGCAATGCAATTACCCAAACAAAACCAACGGAAATCCATTCTAGCTGGACTAACATTTCCAATGAAGTAACCGCCACGACTTGGCATGAAATCAAAAACCCAATCTGGTAATGAATCTGGCATCACATTGAACTTGTTAACTGCAGTGTGAGAGTACTCTTCTGTCTTGTAACGGTGTATATCATTCAAGTGTTTCATATCAAGCCAAAAGTAACTTCTCATGTGATAGCTTAAGGCATTAAGGCGTTTAATTATTCGATCAGAAAACTCTCTGCCTTCTTCATCTTGTTTTAGTAGAAACAAAGCACATCTTAAGGCCATAAAAAAAAGCGCTTGTATCTCAATAGGATAGCCATAAACTCCCTGAAAAATTAACAATAGGACATAAGCAGTCAAACTCGTATGCTGGCCAAACACACTAAGAGGGACTTTACAAAACACAATTATTAAGTTGGTATTGCCAAGAAACACGAATAGTAAAGAAAGAATTTACAATGCAAAAGATCAATCAGAATAAATGGAAGGAGTACAGGATGAAAAAGAGGAGATCCTCCGGAAAAAAAGAAGAAAAAAAACCTTATACTGAAAGGAGATGGACAGATAGAGTCGGATGTAGCCTTTTGGCTATGGGTTCTTTATTGTACTATTAAAATTATGAGTACTCCAATATTTTAACTTCTTTTGCATAAGTATATATAGTTCAAGCCGAAAACATAAGTTCAATTGAGCCCACACAACCTGCTCCAAACCCGCATCTAGCTCAAGAACAATGGCAAAGAAGAGATCGAGTTCATGAGACTAACCATTCGGCGATCAATCATAGAGCATCCATCAGCGCAGAGCAAGGTCGGAAATGTATCAAAACCTTCCGCAAGACCTAAAGCCAAAATCAGGCGTATACCCTTTTGAAATTCGGGCATTTCAGCTAAAGAAGTATCCCCTGTAGACTTTGTGTATGCACGAAGGAGTATAATCCACCAGAAGCCAGAATCTACAGGAGTAACTCTGCCTATAGCACATTCCCCGAAATCAGCAGCAATAGTATCAGAGTTCTTAACAGAGTCATGAATTACTTTAAAACTTGCAGGCATAACTCCTTCCCCTAACTTGAACTGGTCTATCTTCTTCTCCCATGATTGGAGCCGTAACGTTTTCAGAAGAAAGTTTTTGACTATTTCAGGTTCACCATTCATTAAAAATGCCAAAGCACTGGGCACGAAATCTCTCACAAATACCTGCCATAGTTTTTTAAGTCAGAGTTGCAAGGTTTATTAAGAAGGGGAGCTTTGGCGTAACTGGTAAAGTTGCTGCCTTGTGAGCAGGAGGTTACGGGTTCGAGAAAACACTTATGAGAAAAATGCATTTCGAAGAACTCTTTAAAAAAGTTGGGCCAAATATTAATTTAAATTGATTAGCAAAACACAAATTGTTTCTTACCAGAAGTACTTTTTTTAAAAATACTTTATAGAATAAGCTAATTTTAGAAGCACGGCCAAACATGCTAGAAGTTGTAGCATTTGCCTAAGAACTAGAAAATGATCAAAATTGTACCTGATCATAGTTAAGTTCCTCTGTAGAATTATCTACAGCAGCAAGAGTTCCCACAGGTTGTCCTCGGAACTGAACTATAGAACGCCTCAGGGCTTCCCACGCTTCGCCTATTATGGGATGTGGCTCAACACAGTGGCTTGATCTGGGTGAATTTATGCTAGACCTTCTTCCTGGGGAAAACACACTGTCTAGATTGTGTGGCGGCGAATGAGTTATTGACATTTCACTGAAAGATCTTTCATCAAATGATCTTTTCCTTTCTATATTAACAGCTCTTGGTTTTTCCAGCAATCCAGACAAATCATCATCAGATTCCTCAATTTCGAATAAAGATGGAAGAGATGATTCGACATGTTTGACAGTTCCATTCTCAGAATCCATAGTGCTAGGCATTTTGAACAACCTTTTCAAGATCTGCACTTTGTCAATAGAATTAGCAATCTTTTAAGACTATCACGTAATAACAGTGCAATATCTTAAAGTCAGCCAGAAAGTATTTGGGAGAATGGGGTTTATTAATCACATTCAGACACATGAATTAATTCCAACAACAACGTCTCGGTCTCGAACAAGTTAGGGTAAGCTATATAATCCTTCTTTTTGATTTGGAATATTCAACGCATCATATATAACTTTTATTTGGAATGCACCAGCTATGCATCAGTATTCACCAAAAATTTAGTTCAAATTATAGACCTCAACTTACTTCCTTAACAAGCAAACTAACATGAAAGCATAAGAATGGATAATACTATGTGTAATAACTCGAAGCCAGCTGGAAAACATAATATCATTAAAATCCATTGGAACAGAAAATATAACAAGAATAATAAATACATTGCAAGACAAACTACAAAGGTGGATTGAACGAAACGAGTATATATAAGCAAAGACATATCCAAAATTTAAAATCTATGATGCACAATCTAAATTTCTAGACACAAACAAATCTCGAGATAGTAAGTGCATGTGTACTCATGGTTCTCGTGCACCCATTGCCTCTATACTGTATCCGCCCCTATCATCATAAAAATTAACTGCATAGGTGCTGGGACAAACCTTGGTAAGATGAAGCACAACAAGCAGAGAAATATTAGCCTAAAATTATTCCTGGGAACTTACCAAGAATGAACAATTAACCAAAAGAGTTGAATATATGGAATATATATATATATAGATATATAGAGAGAGAAGATTTTGGAGCAGAAATGGGGGTCTTTATATATTGGTGGAATGTGGGGTACACCGGTAGTTAAAGAATAGTTGACTGGATATTAAGCTCTAATTTGGTGGTTGGGAAAAAGTTATCAACACGCTGGATTGTCTAGGAAGATCCGATGGTAAGATCTGGGAAAATTCCAAGCCAAGCTGTCCGTTTACAACCTTTGTGCATGTCCTAAAAAAGGTTGAAAAAATATGCCTTAATTGTACGTTGTCGGTTGGTTTAAAGTATCGTACGGTCTTGCCAGATCATTTTATAAGAAGTAAACAAATGCATGTAATGATACAACCGGTCGTTTTGAGCATTTACACTTCGCTCGGTAGTTTGCGAGCATAAGTAGCTCTGTGTGATGTATTATGACTTATATGAATCGTTGGTTTTGGTTTTCAGGTTATTCGGAATTGTTGGTTTTGGT